TTGGGTTGACAAACTAGAACTAGTAGAAGGTTATTTACAAATGGAAAAGGAGAAAGATCCCAAACTATTTTCTCATCATAATCTTATCCATTATAACAGACTTGTTTTTGGAGCAGTATCTGCACCAGCAGTTTGACAGAGAGCCATGAACTAAGTGTTACAAGATTATCTAGGCACCTAGGGTTATTTAGATGACATAATTGCCACTGGTAAAAATGATGTAGTTCATCTGGAAGATGCACTGCAGAGGTTGGCAAATGATGGCCTTCAAGCATAACATAACAGATATGAATTCTTTGAACCTAATCTTATTTATTGTGGTTGCATCTCTGGTGCACAAAGCATATAGAAGCATACAGAGAATATTCAATATAGATTATTCAAGCAATCATAAATGCTCCAAAGCCATGAGACATAGTACAGATATTATCCTTTTTAGGTTTGTGATGCCTCACAATATGGCATCAATGTGGTTACATCATATACTGTGAAAGATGACAGTGAATGCCCTGACGTTGATCATCATGATATAGGGAAAAAAGGCTTGAACTTAGTTTGTACTTTATGCATTTCACCCAGTGCTTGAATGGAAGGGAATCTATGCTCTATTATTCATCAACAGCCACAACTATTAATCTCCAGTCCTTAACAGTTTTGTTTATAGCTGCTGCTCAAATGAAACACTGGAGTTTGTTCTATGGAGGGCATAGATGCAAAACATATACAATCATACAGATGAAATAGATAAATTTACATTGTAGAGGCAAATGAAACAATCCATAGAATCCACATTATATTAGTATTCCTTGATATGTCTTTTGTAGTAGAAATCAGAAGAATCCTCATATAATGTGAGTCATGACTGGGATAATTTGCAGAGAAAGTAGGAGAATCTCCAATAGAATCTTCAAATCAAATGTTGGTGATATTCTCAGGTGATACTTTACACTCAGGCTTAAACTTTCTTAAATTTAATTTGAGAAAAAAAATCATGAGAGCAGCTAAAACTGAAACAGAAATGTTTTGATGCTTGAGCACAGCATTTTGATCAGCTGAAAACTAGAAATGTATAGAAAGAAGTGAGTGATATAAATTGCAGATTCAGCTGTAATTTGCGAATAATCCATGATGTTAACCCTTCAAGGTAGTCTAGACAAGAAGCATAACTATGAGTGTTAAGTTTACTGTAAGGCTACATTAGCACAATCTTACAAGACTGAAAGTCTTCCTTCCTTCCTTCCTTCCTTCCTTCCTTCCTTCCTTCCTTCCTTCCTTCCTTCCTTCCTTCCTTCCTTCCTCCCTCCCTCCCTCCCTCTCTCTCTCTCTCTCTTTTTCTCTCTCTCTCTTTCTTCTGCTGAAAGCTAGGTCAGGTCCCTTCTGAAATGCTTCCCACGCCCTTTCACCTTCTGTGGCCTGAGATATCTTTTAATGCCAGTTGTCCAGTTTGCTACTCTTCCTCTTTTCTCCTAAGGTCATTCTCATATACCATTATATCCACCAATAATATCTACTCCTAAATTATTATAGGACTATGCACCAGAAGTTATTCCATGGTCTCCAATATTGTCAGAAACCCTAAGCATTCCTATCTGTCACATTAACTCTTATTCATTCCAAAGACACGAAACTGTTGGGTTTGCATGTTAGCAAAACAAATATTGGGTTATTGTTATGCTGACTGATCAAGCGTGCATTTGATCTAGCATACTAGCAGAATCACTCTAGGCTAAGATATACATTCTCATTCTTGCAGATTTATTGAAAGTAGTTCTTTCAAAAATTTCAGTAATGATGGGTGGGGGAGATTATAAAGCTTATTTTCATGTTTGGTATAATGAAGTTTTGTAGGTGACTGCCCATCTATTTCCCAACTGTTTACAATGAACATTTAAATAATTTCTTATAAAAATGCACAGTGAAATTCAAATAGACCTATTTAACTCTACTGATCCAAAAAGTGCTCTGAGGCTTTGGGAGGTGGTAGAAATGTAATACTTATCAGGAAATACACACACATTTCAATTTATATATTTTCCTGGTTGACGTGGCAGGCAGCTAGAAGATAGTCATGTGATTCCAAGAAATTATGCAGCTGAGAGTCCCAGGTGCTACATTTGCATGCACACATGCTTCAAAACATTTTTTTTCTGATTTTTGTCTGAAGTACTACACAGTCTTAGTTCACTATAATCATGGGGATGTCTATATTTTTGCATGGCTAGAGTTTGTTATTTGAATTTGGAGATGTTGCCTCCAAGCTCCAATACCTAAATATCCTTTCTGCTTGCATACAGATCCCCTGCCCACCTAGGGATGATCATGAATTAACAGAAATAGTTTTTCCCTCAGTAAAATAATTTGTTGATACCTTTTCTCTTTGATACTTAATAAGCTAATTCCATTTCCAACTTCCTTTATTTTGCAGCAACATTCCAGAGTTAATTGCAGAAGTACTTATAAGCACTGCACTTTTAAATTATTTTATTATTCAACTGATGATAAACATATCTAACCGAAGGCTTGGTGCTCACGAGCCATGTTGTGTGGAGTCCTGTTCTAATTCTGTGCTATGCTTTGCTAGTAAAATAAGTTATTTGGTTTCTCATAAGACATCTTGTCCAGAAAAGAAGAAGGGGCAGACAATTGGAGGAATGAGGGGGGACTGCTTAGAAAGTTCCATGAGGATGCATCAAGATTAATGTGAATTCTGGGGAAATCCTGGTTGGCAATTAAGGGTCTCACAATGGCCAAGGTGGGTTAGGCAATTTTAAAGGCTGTTGGACTGTAATGGACTGTGTTTGGATGAAGAACCTGAATCAATTGAGTAGTTCCACTACTTAGGCTTTTAGGATGTTGGATGAGACCGAGGCAAATCTCATCAATGTGTTCAACTGGAGGTTAAAATGCCAACCAAGTTTATAAGCACTTTCTTTGAACTGTTTGAAATGCTGTGGACATAATATATTTAGACTTCAGCAAGGCATTCGACAAAGTAAACCACAACTTACTTCTTGGTAAGCTAGAAAAATATGGGATAGACAGCATCATCACCAGATGGATTTGAAACTGGCTGACAAACCGTACTCAACGAGTCATCCTTAATGGTACTACATCTACATGGAGGGAAGTAAGCAGTGGGGTGCCACAGGGTTCCGTCTTAAGGCCAGTAGTCTTCAATATCTTCAAAAATGACTTAGGGAATAGAAGAGGAACTCATCAAATTTGTAGCTGACACTAAGCTGGCAGAAATAGCTAACACCCCAGAAGACAAGCTCAGGATCCAAAAAGATCTTGATAGACTTGAACAATGGGCCCTATCCAACACATGAAGTTTAATGTGGAAAAAAGTAAGGTTTCACACTTAGGCAAGAAAAACCAAAAGTATAAGTAAAGATTAGGAAAAACCTGGCTCAAAAAACAGTAACTGTGAGAGTTACTGTTCTAGTAACTTGGAGTTCTAGTGGACAATCACTTAAATATGAGCCAGCAGTGTGCGGCAGCAGCCAAAAGAGCTAATACAATCCTTGGTTGTATAAACAGAGGCGTAGAATCAAAATCACATGAAGTATTAGTTCAACTTTATAAAGCCTTAGTAAGGCCACATCTGGAATACTGCATCCAGTTTTGGCCACCACATTTCAAAAAAAGATGTTGAGATTTTGGAAAAAGTGCAAAGAAGAACAACTAAGATGATTAAAGGCCTGGAGACTAAAACATATGAAGAACGTTGCAGGATTTGGGTTTGGCTAATCTAGAGAAAAGAAGGACTAGGGGTGACATGATAGCAGTATTCCAATATTTGAGAGGTTGCCACAAAGAAGAGTGAATTAACTTATTTACCAAAGCACCTTAGGCAAGACAAGAAACAATGGATGGAAATTAATGAGAGAAGAAACCTGGAACTAAGGAGAAACTTTCTAACAGTGAGGACAATTAAGCAGTGGAACAGCTTGCCATTAGAAGTTGTAGGTGCTTCATCAGTGGACAGTTACTTATCTGAAATGGTATAAGGCAGTGGTTCTCAACCTGTGGGTCGGGACCCCTTTGGGGGTCAAATGACCCTTTCACAGGGGTCACCTAAGACCATTGGAAAACACATATTTTCAATGGTTTTAGGAATAATTTTATTGTTGGGGGTCACCACAACGAGGAACTGTATTAAAGGGTCCCAGCATTAGGAAGGTTGAGAACCACTGGTATAAGGTCTCCTGCTTGAGCAGGGGTATGGACTAGAAGACCTCCAAGGTTGTTCCAGCTCTATTCTGATTGATTGATAAACATAATTTGAGTGATAAACATAATTAGACACCTGGATGGAGGTGTTCATATATTAGAAAGATATCATGTTGTGTAAATATTTTCTTACCTAGAATGCTTTTGAGAACCATACAGGTCTAGAGAGAAAATGTGTAATGTATGATAAATTAAACTATGCTTGCCAAGAGAACGTAGCAAGAGACTCACACATAAAAGAATGTAAAAATGATTCAGAGAAAAAAACTTGTCTACTTTGATAAGACGTGGCTAAAAATCAAAATGATTATTTCTTTATCTTTTTCTGAATAAAAATAAGAAAAACTGAAATCTCTGTGATGTTTCCTGTTGCTGCTAGATCCTGAACATGTGTTCCTTTGATATTCTGTATGGCTGCTTCCCTTCTTCAAATGTGCTTGCTGCGTGCTTGACCTAGGCATTTTGTGCTAGCATATTGGTAGTCAGTTACTCAACTTATTTTGTTGCTGAATTAATAATGTATAAGCATGCATCAATGAATGGATATATACAATGTATAAGCATGCATCAATAAAACTGCTACTCAAAATGGCTGACACTTAAAAAAATACTTTGCATGGGATAATCCATGCATTCGACTGAATTGCACATAAAGAGAATTCGGTATCAGCTAAATCCAAGAGAATTTAGCATTATTTTTAATGATGTTGTATTTTTATTTTGAAAAAAGTGGGCTAATTTTGTCCTTATTGATTTCAAATATCTAGGTTGGAATCAGTACTGGCCTTGATGGTACTGGGAGAAAGTGCCAAATTAAATATGTCATGTCTGAAAATTTTAATGGACCTAGTAAAATATTTTATTTCAAGCTCTGTGCCTCTTCAAAAACAGGTAAGAACCAAGTTAATCTTGGTGTAGAAAGGAATTGTGTTTATCATTGTGCTATCCCAGATGAATTGCTCCAAGATCTGCATTGATCCTGCTGCAGCCAATGTTCTGTAATTTTTCTAAATATGTACTTTAGAACGGTAAGGTAGGCTTTTTTTTTTTACACATTTTGGTTCCTATTTGATTAATATTTTGTTGTATAGGAAAAGAGTAACAAGAAAAAGATGTCATGTTGGCACTGGCAAATCGGATACATATATACAAATATCCTCAGAGAAATCTGTTTGCATGGCATTAATGCAGATTTACAAAAAACCGCTTTTCTTGGATTCTGTGACTGTGGAAAGGAACATGAGAACGACAAAGAATTAAGAGGAGCAAATTTTCCTGATCTTTTGAACTTCTGCCTTCCATCTGATGACTGTAAGTACAAAAGTAGTAATTTTCTCCTGCATTATGTATGTGTGTGGTTTTACAATGACCACGTTATGGCTCATATGCATAGATTCAATGGTCTACATGGCCAATTCATTTATGCCAGCTGGTTGCTGATTTTTTTTTGTAAGTTACATCTCTTCTTTGTAATTCTGCATTATTATGTGTATGTGTAACAATTACTATAAAACATACCATTGAAGATTTTAGAGGGAGTCCAACAAGAAGATCAGGGATGGGGGTAAATCCGAAGCTCTTGCTGCCTAATTTAGATAATACTGTTGTCTTTATATTGCAATTCTGAACTTGTCACTTCAGTTGTTTTTACAAGGCGTATTTCTCATCACATAGCTCTTGATAACATCAACACACTGTTCTCTAAAATGAATATTAAAATCCTAAACTTATACATATTTCAGTTCAAAGGAATATTCAAATTACCATTCATGCTTCTTTTTATAAAGGCATGACAACTTGTAATTAATCAGTCACTTCATACTCTGCTTTTGAGAATAATTTCAGAAGTTGAGATGTCATCTTGATGACATTCACATCGATACTACAAATAATCAGAACAAATAAATCAAAGAATTTACAAAATTAATCAGGTGAGAGTAAGGTTCAAGCATTTTCATAATCAGTTTAGGCAATTCTACATCTTATTATACAAAGTTAAAATGAACTTAAGAGGTAAATTAAGAGAATTCTAGTTTGCCCTGATAGGAGTATGAGCTCCTAATCACTTCTTAAAACTAAGAATGTCCCCTTCTACTCCAGCCCACCAGAAAAGCAATTTCCACCTGTCTTTTTCTACCCTGCTTCAAAAGTAGCATTTTCTGACTTGAATGTCATAAGCAGCCTTGTCCTGTTTGCTTCTAGTGCTTCATTCCATTGGAGAAAGAAGCTTTCTGTTTTCAGTGCCTTCTCCTCTCCAGCCATTGTCTTACATGGACATTGTTTTTACAAGTTCACCCCTGGGATGGTGAAACTGTTCACTGATGGAACAGAGAAATGGTAGACTTGACTTTTTGTTTTAACCAGGGAATTGCTACTTTTCCCTTTTACTGCAAGCGCAAGTGGCAATAAATAATTGAAAAAAAAATAAGTATTTTACCTTTAAGAGTCATAGTGACGCAGTGGTTAGAGTGCAGTAGTGCAGACTACTTCTGCTGACTGTGATTGCCAGCAGGTTGGCAGTTCAAGTCCCACCGGCTGAAGGTTGACTCAGCCTTCCAAGGTCAGTAAAAGGAGGAACCAGATTGTTGGGGGCAATATGCTGACTCTGTAAACCTCATTTTGTCTTTAATAAAGGTTATTAAAGCTCAAGTTCATAAAAGAAATCTAGGTGCCCATAGAAACATGGCCATGGCAGGAGTCCAAAAACTTATAAAAATGGTATAGTTTTCTCACAATGTTGAAATTACCTATGCCATATGTAGGCTAAGATCTAGAGGACAGATGTTGTAATGAAGCAGGTAAAAAGATAACTTTAAATGTTAAAATAGGGTCTTTGTAGAAAGAAATGTTTTCTGTTTAAAATGTATTTAGTGCATTTTTTCTTCTAGCACTAGTGTTTGAGATAATGGGAGAGGTAAAACACCTGCAGAATTGCTAAATACATTCTTTTTTCTCAGTGGTTACTCAATTAGCAATGAGCAGGGGGAAATTAGAATATGAAAAGAATCATTTTTCTTTTCAGCTTGCCTGAATATCTAATGAGTCTCTTTTTCTTCTGTTCTTTTTAAAGAGCTTTTGTTGCAGAACCTTTTATACTACCTTCTACCCTCTGCATATTCACTTGCTGCATTGTCAGGGACATATTTCTTTCAATATATTTAAAGTAACAGTTTTGATAGCTGCCATGAGGTCATGCAAAGCAGAACTGAAGACAGCCTTGTGAGGTTGTTGGGAACTTGGATGAGTAGTTTTGTAACAGATTTCTTTCAAAATGTCTAGACATGTTTATTAGATTATAGTCCACTTTTTATGACAGTCCTAGCGTATTGCCATCTGCTTGTCTTTGTGTATCTCTGTGTGAATGCAATACCAATATGAAACTTGGATATTCTGGGTACTCTTTTCTCTCTTCTTTTAAAAATTCTGTAATAAATTACCAGTGCTTAACTCAACTGGAAAAAACCCAAGTGGTTTACTTGGTAAATTGTGAGCAGTTAAAGTATGGTTGGCTGGATCAGTAAGGTCTACAATTTATATTGTTAATTTTAAGGTGAATTGAGTTAACCCAATTGTTTTGCATGCTGTAACTTAGCTTTCATAAAATAAAGACTTAAGAGAAAATAAATTGGGGATGTCTGTAAAGGGAGATTCTCTGAGATTATCATATTTTAGACATAAGTCTTTACTCAGCAACTTGCTAAAAGAAAAAGCAACTGGCTCCAAATAGGATTTTGGAGGGAGATTAGAATAAATGGAATAGCTTCTGAAGACAGAAATTCATGTTGACCAATCAGTATCTGATGGTTTGATTGGGTGCCTGTCAAGTGTTTCTATAGTATCATTTTTTGCATAAACCATAGCAGAGTCAGCCTGAGATATTTGCATGTAGTTTTGGATTGTATACCAAATTTATGCGTTACCATTTGTTGATTTATGTGATATATATATTTATCAACTTGTTTGCTTCAATCACAAAGTAGCTCTAGGTAGCTTATAGAATACAATTAAAATATCAATTAAAAATAACAGACAGGATCAGCAAAATAATACATGACAAAGAACAGAGCATATATCTAATGCAAACATATTCTTCACCCTCTACTTGCAGGAAGCAGGACACTTCCCTATCCAAGGGCAATGTTGAAAAACTAGCTCAGTATATTTAATATTTAAATATTTAATATTTAATTTAGCAGGATATGAACATAAGGATAGTCTTGCTGCATCACACCGTAGCCCATCTTAGTCCAGTTGTTTGAAGAGAAGACAGGGAACATGTCTCCATTAACACATAGAGAAGGGACAACAACTAATCCAAACACATTTAGTATTCTTCTGCCAAGGAGAGCGACTTATTGTTACAGTTCAAATAAAACAATGTACTTCTCTTTTCAATATATTGTGGCCTTAGCTTAACAATCTTACATTAATTTACAGAGCTTCTTGCAATTTATTAACTGTTTCAATACTCCCTCCTGTGTCCACTATTAACACAATTGATAAACTTCATCACTAGTCCTTCTGTAGATAGTTTAGTGCTCCTAGCTTTTTCTACATTATATACTTTGGAGATCCTCTCTCCAACTGCATTGCATGTTGTCCTCCAGTAGCTTCAGTCTTCTTGCTCTTTAATACAGGTGCAGCACTGTCCAAATAGACAGACAACAATGAAACTATGAAAATTCCTTTGCATGACAAATATTCTACTGTACTTATAAATCTTGAGTTAGAAAGTAGAAATGCTTGCTCACAAGTGTGCTAATTAAGTACACTAAGTCAATAATTTTCTAACTTTTCATGCATCTGGCAAATAGATAAAAGCCCCAATTTTGGGATACCACCTCAGTCATGGTAGCTCACTTGCCACAATCTTCTATGTACTTCAAAATGTTCTCTTTACATCCAGTCTTCTTCTGGCAAGTATGATGACTACAGGATTTGATGAAATCATCAAGCACATTCAGGAGCCAAATTATCTTTTATTTGTTCATTCAATGGAAACTTTGCAGAATTTTGCAGTAAAGTGTGATATCTGCTATAATACAATGCATGCCCCCCCCCTTCATCCACTTAGGAAATAATGGAACCTGACATCTTGCTTGTTCTACTTGCTAGCTATTGATCGCTATCATATTCTATTGCTTTGCAAACTGAAGTCTACGCCTGGCCTTAATGCAAAGGTAATACCATAATTTAAATGAGTATCTTTTTTAAGTGCCAAGGTTTATTTCTGATTTTTGAAATGAGGACATTTGGATCTGTCCCATTCACCAGATTATGCTGAGGCATCCACCATTTTTTCCATTTGGTACCCACAATTTTTCATCCAGAAATAATTATGGAATAGTTTCTGGCTCTACTTTCCTGAATTATTTTTTCCCTATTTCCTTATGTATATGCAAATAAAGAGCTGCTTCAGATTCCCCGCAAAACAACAGTTCAACTACCTGGTAACTTTATGAGCTTGATCTTATTTTTACTTTCTTTTTCCATAAAAAGTTCACTTATTTGGAATAACCTCTGACAGATTGGGATTTTTTTCCCCCAGTGAGAAGCAAAGAAATTCATTTTAACACCTTTTGTATTTTCCCCCAGGCATCTCGCAGCTGCTGGCAGTGGGGAATCTAGTATTTTATATTTGTTCTTTCAGCTTAAGCAATTAATTAGGAATCTTATTTCCCAGCTATTGTACTGCAATGTTGTTATTATCCCCTGTATTCTTTTTAAAATGTAAACTATTACCTATTCAGCAAAACATCTGATTAAATACTGTCTATAAACAGGACTGTGTCTTGTGATTAATTCAGTTACTTATCGTTGCTAGTAGGTGTGTGGCTAGAACATAGCCATGTTTACTCCAAAATGAATCTTACTAAAAGGATTTACAATTTAGGTAAATATGTGCAGCAGGGATGGACAACTGCAGTTCCAATAATCCTTAACTATTAGTCATGCTGGCTCCGGCTGATTGGAGCTCTAGTTCAACATTAGTTGGAGAGTCACACTGCTTTTCTCCATGTAAAATTGCAAGTTTACAGCTTGATACCATGGACTGATTTGCACTTCCTCCTTGCCCTGCATGGGGACTTTCCATTTCGGAAGAGCAGAAGTGAATTTCGTCAGCTTTAGACCAGCCCTAGCCTGTTGGGAAGGTGACTCCCACCTGTGTTTTCTTTCTCTGCATTAAAGTAATGCTTTTCCCTTTCTGCCTGCCACACTTCAGTTGTCTCAGTTCAATTGACTGGTATATGCTCTGGAGGGCAGTCACTGTAGTCACTGCTCTCTGCCTCCAATGGTCATTTCATGCTGGGATGGCTACCCTGAAAGGCTGGATCTTTGTTGTGGTATGTGTATGTGATGTGTTTGTGTGTGTGTGTTCAGTAGTGGAATAATGAAATGCTGGATGTTTCTTTTAACTGAGTGATATTGACAAGGCTTTTGTCAAGTTTCCCCTTCCAGCCCAAGTGACAGGAAGAACTGTAAAACTGTTTTTGCAACTGGCGCTTGCTCTCTTGGCAAGGGTGAGAGGAGAAAAGAAGCAGGGAATTCACAGTTGAGGGCCATGTTAACTGTGTTCTGAGCCGAATTTTGTAGTGGAAGGAAGGATTGAAATATAGGAAATAATTTCTTAAACTGGTTTAAATCCCTGCCAGTTCACGCACAGGAGAAAACTAGCTGAAGACTGTGGTGCAGAAAAGCCCCATGTACGTTTACTAAAAAATAGGAACCCCCCCCCAAAAAAAGCAGTGAAGCACATTTACTGAGCATGTACCCTGTAAATCATGGATATGCTCATCTCTGTTGTAAGGGACAAGCTAAGTCAGTCACTTTGCAGCTTTCATGTAGCCTAGGCAAAATGATCAGGAGACAAGTTGATAATTAGTTCCCACATCTTATTGCCAAGATGATTACATTGATATGTTCATGAAGTCAAGGGGAGTTGAGCTCAACAAAGGAGACTTTGCATCTATTTTATAGATACAAAGGACAATTAGCTTACCATACCCTTCACTTCAGAAGAGGAACAGCCAACATGCAAAAAGATTAGACCTTCCTTCCTTTCCTTTTGTATTGGATAGGAGATGTGGTGATCTTTCTTTGCACAGGCCAACAGAAGTAATAATCACTGATTAGCTTGACACTGCTTCTGAAAGGATAGAGAATGAAAGTATGAAAAGCTCTTAATTGCTGGATGATTATCTAGAATTCTTGCAATAGAAATGAAGGGAGGCAAACAATTTCTAAGAATCTCAGAATCATTCTTCAAATACGCATTACTTTAAAAAAGAGAATGATTAATTTATGCTACCTCAAGGCATGGAAATAGCTACTAGTTATGAAGATTTAGAAGAATAATGAACATTTAATGGTGGACAAAATTGTTCGTGGCTGTAAATCATCATGGGACTTTCAGGACATTGCCATAGTATTTATAGAAAACATTCTTGTGCCTCCACATTCTATTTATGGGTTTCGCTATAATATTTGGTTGATAAGATTGGGAAAGGTGAGCTCTTTGCAGAAAACTCTGGGTTTTCATGGAGCCTGGCTCCCCTTTCTCTCCACTATTTAGTACCCAATCTTTTCAGCTATTTGTGGGAAGACGGGCTCACCTGTTTGTCCTCCTGATGTAGGAAGGGATGGGGGGGGGGTCTCCTTGATTCAGCTCCTGTAGCTCACTGAATTTCTTCCTTAATGGCAACAGCAGTGTGACTCTTGCCTTTATCCAGGACAACAGTGAGCAAAGAAGCAAAACCACTCGGTGCATGAAGACAGCACAACTGCAATTGCATTGCAGAAACAAGTCAAATGTTAACTGAAGGCTATGCTCCATCTAGCTATTAAACAAATCAATCTTTTCTTTGTACAAAGCATTGTCGCTGCTTGCGACAGCAACAACTAGCATTGCCCTCCTGTAAGGGCAGCAATTTGCTGGTCTCTTTGTTGATGCGTGACAAAGCGGTTCGGTGGGGGGAGGCTGCTGTTTACCTCTTCCCCATTTTGAAGATGGGAGGAAAGCACATTGGCAAGGCTACAGAAAGAGCCCAATGGCAGAAGTGAGGGAAAAATAACCATCGCTTTCATATGAGGCATTTTTAACGTTGATGAGGCACTGCTTTCTGGCATTCAGCTGGAAAGGGAATTAAAATAACAGAATGTTGTGTCTGTTGAGGGCTAATCAATTTATTACCGCATACACTTTTGTGGACTATAGAGCTCTGTAATGAATTTGTAATAATTTTAAAAATGCCACATGATTCTTGGCTACTTTTGCTGCAACAGATTAATGAAGTTAACTCTTTGCATATTAAACATGAAGTTTAGAAAAGTTCCATTTTCATTTAAGAAGTGTGGATTTCAACTCCCAGAATTCCCCAGCCAATAGATCATGAGGCTGAGGGATTCTGGGATTTGACATTCATACATCTTAAATTAATGAAGATTGAGAAACACTGGCTTACACAAATCTAAGCATCATTCACCAAAATTCTTCTGCAGTGTTAATTATTTTAAAAGCGTGTAACTGACCTTTTTATTATACTGGCAGTGCTTAAATGATTTACAACAATGTACAATTGTAAAATAAATCATGAAAGCTAGAAAATACAGTAGAATGATTAGTTTACTTCCATGCAGTTTCATTTCATTGCTTCTTGATCAGCACAGCAGTAGCATTGCTCATGAATTGCTTCTTAATTGCACCTTAATTAGTGTAATTGGTGAAACAGTGTTATTCTGCAGTACAATGGAAGGAAAAAAAATAGAAGAAATTAATAATTAACCCCTCTTCCTTGTGGAACTGAGTGAGTGGGAGTTATGAGATATTATTAATCACTCTATAGAAATGCTGCTGCTCTGAACTGGAAGCAATCAGAAACCCCCCCAAAAATGGGGCAATCAGAACCCCCCCAAAAGTTAATAAGCAAAAGCCAGACCATCATAAATAGCTTCAATTGTTCTTTGAAAGTCAACACCTGAAAAGCCAGCACTGACATTTTGTTGGTTTATTTTTTAAAATCTGGTTTATCAAACAATAGAAGTAGAAAAACACTAGAGTGCAGATATTAATCATCTGGATTCTTTTTTTAAAAGGGAAATAATGTATTCTAAACTAACTATCTAAACTGGAAGTAGTTACAGAGGGATCGCTGTTACTTTTTTTACTTCTGCTGTAATATGGCCAGGCCAATGGTGAAAGTCAAGGGGGAGGGAAGTAGAATGATGTAAGCAACATCATAGTGTAAGTCCTGCCCCCTTTTCACTGAAGGCTGGAGTGTTCAGTTTAACGTTTAAAGGACTCAGGTTGGAATTAGAAAAGTTTGTTAAAGGAATTGCTGACACAGAAAGTTGCAGCTGTAATGAGTGTAACAACAGTGGGACATTACTGCCTAGCAACAAGAAAGTTACACAAAAGTTACAAGTTAGAAGGACTTGTTAGAAGGATGCTAGCTAAGGCATGTAGATATATAAACTTTGGTAACCTCTAGTTTATTATAATAGTAAAAAATGCACCTTTTTTGATAAGAAAGCTTATTAACATAAAGATGAGATTTTAGAAAAAGGAGGGTAAAGTAGAAGAAACGGATCAAAAGAAACATGTGTCAAGGAACCAATATTTGATTCTTTGGGTGTTAACTTTCTTAATCATAGCTGAATAAAATTTGTGTTTGTGCATTGTTTGGGGTCTTGCTCAGGGGTGGGTTTCTACCGGTTCGCCCTGGTTCGGTGGTGGCAGAAGGCTCCGCCCACCCGCCCAGACGTCATCAAAAATACTCTGCACATGTGCAGAAGCACCGCACGCTTGTAAAACAAGTGCACGCACCCGCACACTACCGATAACGAACCGGTAGCATCTCTGGTCTTGCTCCTTTAGCTGCTGAGACCCTTTTGCTGGAGTATACCAATAAATGAAGCTGAAAATGCCATTTCTCGTGTCTGTGGTCTTTATTGACTTTGGCACCAGGCTAGGACCTGTTTTGAGTACAACATGTTGTGATGTTGCTTTTGTCAAAAGCCTGTAAATTCCTCTGGCTTACCTTTACTGGCAACTCTTTCAAAAGTCATAACATTAATTGAACAATTCTGCGTTAGCAGTAGCATCACAACCATCTGTGGACTAGAAAGATGATTGCTAGGATGCTAGTGTTCTACACCAAAGGCTCAGTGCATAGAGAAATGCCTTTTAAAAGCAATAACAGCTAATTGAATTACTTACATGGTAAAATGCTTTCCATAATTGTTTAAAGGACATGTCTAAATTTGGCCTGAGCTTGCAGAAGTGTCAGCTGTCTGCTTTTAAAGCAGAATTCTAGTCTATGTGGATTTCTTGATTTGATCAGGAAAACATTTCTCATATTTTGAGCAGTCATGTTATGGTACCCTGGTCTACCATTATTTCAGATAATGATCCCTTCTGGGTTATACGTTACGGTGTGATCTACAATCTTGTTATCCTGCGTAGTGAACTCTTGGGAGATGTGAATCGAGAAGGATTAAGAAATGCTGTCTGGCGAACTTTACAAAAACAAAAGGGTACTGAAAAGGATGATCGCGTCCTGGATGCAGCAAAAGTAGCAGAGGTAAGCTTGAAATTTAATATTTAAATCATTGTCTAAATAATGTTATAACTTCAACAGCTGTCTCCTACTTCCCTACCACAACAATCCTGTGAATTGAGTTAGGCTGAGAGGAGGAGTCTGGCCCAAAATCACCCAACTGGCTGAGGGAGGCCGAGAACTCACAGTGTCCTTGTTTCTAGACCACGAGTGTAAAACTTGCGGCATCATGTTGCCATCATGTGATGTTTCATGATGTTTTTCACATTTGCAGAGCTGGGGTGGACATGGCCTGCGTGTGATGCATCCAGCCCGCAGGCTGCCAGTTTGACACCCCTGTTCTAGATCAACTCCTTAACTACTACAAGAAAGCTGGTATTCCTTCATATCTTCCTTCATATTATGCAACTTTATAAGGCTGTATATTTATTTATTTCACAACTTTTATAACTCACCCCAGTCTGTAGACCCTCCACAGAATACAACAGAGCAAAAATATTTGATTTCTTTTCCTAAACAAAGCTATCACTTATTTCTATTAAATATCTTTCTTTTTTTTTCAGCCAATGTCCCCAACTTCTTTTTCAATTTTGTATTTGTTTTATAGAGCATGTGACTAAGATTGATTTCTTGCTTTGCTTTTCATTGGAATAGGATTTAGCTATACAAATTGCCCCCACTATAACGAGGTGAAAGTGAGAGAGCATAGGGAATTTTTTAGCCGTAGTCCTGTTTTCTATAATTTCTGGATCACCTGCTATGAAAATTACCAGTTCTCACCTTTTGTTTGGGCTATGTTTCCTTCTATGAGATAGCCATATCACTTTACATAATTACATATCTCTTGCTCCTGACCCCCAGTATAATTCCTGTGTCCTATAGTTTCAGGGAAGGGACGATGGTTTTCAACCTGTTCACAAACTATCAAAGCTTATAGTGCAAATGTAGCTTTGATTTAAATATTTTAGCAAGTGGCAACACTTGACTAATCTTGTCCGAACTTGGAAGCTAAGCAGAGTTGGATTTGGTGAATTTGGATTGGAGACCACTAGGATAAAACAGGGTATAAACTAGAATGAGCATATTATACAGGCATTCCTTGACTTATGACTGTTATAGAGCCTGATCATTATGGTTATAAGTTGTAGTGGTCATTGAATGAGGAATTATATGATTGCCCTGCTTAACCACAAATCCTGCTCTCCTTATTGTAGTTGTTAAGCGGAACATGGGGTGCCTCAGGGATGGGAGAGACCTTGAGTGGCCTGGCGCAGACCCAGGCCTGCAACTGCAGCACCTACCTAGCTCACATGTGACTTGTCCTGGATATCCCAGGGCCTACCCCACCCCCTGAAGTTACCCCTTGCTCTGCTTCCTGCCAGCTGGGTCCTCCATTCTTGGGCCTCCTCCACTCCTGTCACATATTGGTCCACTTACCTTTTTCAAAGATTGTCTTTGGGAAAGAGAAGCAGCCAATCTTCTGTGTGGCCTTCCCAGGAACAGGTCCCCATTTTTCGGAGTGGTCCCCATTTCATGCCATCCCAAATGGCAATTGTGATTGCTCCAAAAAGATTGAAGAACTGAGTATTTGCAAAGCATTTATTTTGCCCCAAAGCTGTGATCTTTTTTTATATTTTACAGATAGATGTATGTATCCAAAGTCTGAATAGTAAAACTATTCAAAATAATTTAAGCATTATTTTTTCCTACATGTGGTTTTTTTATAGTGAAGAAATAAAGAGAAGGCATATAAACAAATAAAAGAGCATATAAACAGTGAAATGTATATTTTAAAAATATCCAAAGCAGTACACATCATTCACATGGAATGAATACTGGACTATGAGCAATGTGAGCATTGTCTAAAAATATTTTAAAGTATAAAAAGAATGGGGATGTATGTTATAGACAAAAGTATGCATATCTGGACTTGTTCCATGAGCCTTCTCAGTACTTTTTAGTCACTGGAACCAGCGCTGCAATGTTTAAAAACAGTTAAATTGTTTTGAACTGTCAAGTCACCTGGTGAGTGTCTGGCCATATAGTTTAAAATGTTATGCTATTAGAAATATTAAATACCCTGCATGTGAGAAAAGGCAAGAATGATTGACCTACTATATATTGCTTTTTTTTTGCTTTCCATAAAAGATTATATATCTATGTTTTAGATATATAGATTATATATCTATGATTAGAGTAGTTGAGAAGACACAAGCAGAAATAAAGTATATGTTAGCATTTCACAAAAAGTCATGTAAGGATAATGTAATGCTTATATAAATGCTGTGGAAATAGCATATCATTTCCAAATAGGGCAATATTTCTCACTCACAAGGACAAAAAAAATGTATGTAGTGTATTTGTGCATTAAATGTCAGGCAGCTTGAAAGAATATGTGTTTCCTTTTGAAATCAGATCTTATTTTTCATAGAGTTAAATGACATTGGAGAAATACAATTTATAATTCCAACAGATAAGGAAGACAAATTTGTTATAAGCAAAATTTAATTATACATTAAACATTCTGCCTGTTCTTATTATTTTAGGAAATTAGATAACAAAGTCTGATTTATTGAACTGAAAGGAAAACACTTAAAATATTTAAATGTAGCTGTAGAGATAGAGAAATTTGCCTGCTGGTCATTCTAGGTACTCCTATATAAGCACCCTGCCTGGATATTTGAATAAATGCAAATTATGCACCAAAATTCAGTTTATACAATGTAGGTTCATCTCCGAAAAAGAGGGGAACAGCTTATTTGGGTCAGTGGGACAATTAACCTTTAGCCAATTAAGTTCTAGCAAGTTAAATTTAGCACAAAATAGATCCAGCCATGCATAGGGTTAAATCCATTTTATCCAGTCAGTCATACTGTGAAATACTAAATCCAGCCAATTACCCTGTTTTACATGCCTAGTCATCCAAGAACAGGAATGCTTGAAAAAGCAACCTTCCATGGTAAAATTCACTACTAAGGCATGGCAGCAGAGCATATTTTTATATGCTGGTTGGTTGCACTAAATGGATTTTACTTTGTGATTTGAAATTTTATTTATTTTTTCATATTTTTAATTTTAGTTACAATAGTAAAACCAAATACATTTTTGTATTTGTAAGTAGGAAAGCAGAAATAGAAAAAATAAAAAACTTAAAAAAATAAAAAAATAATAGAAGATTAAAAAAAATACATAAAAAATACTTTAGAGCTTCATCACAAATGAAAGCAAATTTGAAAACTCTTCAACTCTATAAGGTAGCAAATATCTTTTCTTCCCATAACATCTATACCCTCGTCCATAAATCATCAACTTTTCAGGCCTGATGTTCAACCAAAAATTTATAAAGTGTTACCAGAGCTTCATAAACATATTTTATTATAAGCTTGATCAAATCAACCAACTTTATATTCTTTCCCTTTACGTCCAACAATCTTCACTTTTCATTCATCCATATGATGTTGTGGGATTTGGCCTCTCTTCAATTTTTCTTTTTCCATTGCAAAGGATTCTTGAGGCTTTAAGAAATCTCTTGTAAATCCAGTAAAAGTCATTATCCAGATCATTCTTCTGGTCTATCATTTGCATTTCCACTTTGATTTTCAAAACTTTAACAAACTTAAATTTGCATCAGATTTAACCTCTTTTGGGCATAGTCTGTCCATAGAAGCAGATATTATTAATGACATTTCTGATATTATAGATGTTAATGTCTTGGCCCATTCTTTGAAAATCTCCTGAAGTATTTTAAAGGTTTTAACATTTTGTATCATTTTGTAAATCCTTATACTAACCAAAAAAAAAAAAGGAGGAGGCAAGGTCTGAATGGAATTTGTCATCCCCTTTTAGTGACCAATTTCTGAAATCATAATGTCTCAAGATTCTGACTTGATATAAACAAAGCAATTTGGTTTCCACAGGATGCCATTCATTTTATTTAATTATTTCCAAAATCCTATAGTAAATGTCTAAGGGTTTGCAATTTGTCTGGACTCTTAATTCATGTATAACCCTCTAATCAAAATCATATTCAGCCTTTTGCTGGATATTTGCTGAATATAAATTCTTATATTTATATTAATTTTTCTTTCGTTCAAGAAGGAAGGTAGACTCACCAGGTAGCTTTTCAAATATGTCACTCTGAAGATCTCTAACAGCCTTAGAATAATAAATAATTTATGAAAGTGATTAGAAAGTAAGTTTAGCAAACCCAATGCCATTTAAAAGACTTCAGAGCTGTTATGAGGATGATGGCTAATCTCTTTGTTTCCCAGTGTTTAAACCCACAAGAGACTGTGTCCTGTAGTCCTTTTGAGAAACAGCTGTCAGGAGCACGATGATATTCTGTTCTCTTCTTGCGTGGAGAGTCTAGAGTCTTGTCTATTCATCAGTTCTTTGGCCTTGCCATGATTGTTGTCTCTACTCTCTGCAGAAATGTATTTAGTTCACCATACCTCGCAAGGTTTTTTTATGGAAAAAGCAGGCTCTTTTAGTTCATTGTGGCTGGGATTTGGGGGAATTATAAACTTAGGGGAACTAGAAGTGTTTTCCTAATTCTTCCAAATTACTGTCTTAATAAGAGTGGAAAGGAGCAGTGTTTTCTCTTTGCTGGGCAATGCAATATGGGAGCCCTTTCATTGCATATGAATACTAGAACTAATTTTAAAAATTTTCTTTTTAGGACTCGTCTGCATAGAACTAACTAGAACAGTGTTTCTCAACCTCAGCACCCTTAAGCTATGTGTTGACATAAGCAATGCCAACTCCCAGAATTTCCCACCCAACAAACTGGAGTTGGTCCACACCAGTGGTGGGTTGCCCCCGGTTCGGACCGGTTCGCAAGAACCAGTAGTAAAACCGGCAAGAGGCCCTGCCCACCGCCCCGGATGTCATCATTGGTGATCTGCACATGCGCAGAAGCAAGACGCATGTGTGAGCGAAGTGAGCGTGCACATGCGATCCCGTTGTGAACTGGTAGTAAAGGTAAGTAGAATCTACCCCTGGTCCACATAGTTTAAAGTTGCTGA